TATAACTTAAGGGGGTGTTTTAGCATGGTAAAATTATGATAGTAGGGAGACCTCATATTTGACACATGCACTACGTAGATTAAACTCTATTGTGCGAATTAAAGAACAATTTCATTAGACGCCGCTAGAGGGCAGTTTACCTACAATCGAAAAAATATGTTTGCCATAGTGATTATTGCTAATTTTGATAAGTCAGAGTATTCCTTACGAACTTGGTAGAACATTACATATCCTCCTTACGCATGTTGACTAAGTAATCCAATTCAAATAACAAGATTTCAGAGCGTTAACAGAATCGTTGCCTTAAATTAGATTAGCTTTAGATACTCTCCAGTAAACAGTGCTCTTTTATACAAACAATATTGAAAGGAAGGGGCGCTATTTGTCGATAGTATGTTGAAAGATCGTGCACCCTTGTTTGGAAAAATATTTTAGCTTCCAAAAGCTTACTTCTATGTCTGTTCTTAAAGAACGATCCAACCTTTGACAAATATAAAGGAAGACGTTTAATTCATAGTAGTTAGAGTATTCCTTCCTATAGTAGTTAAAGTATTCCTTCAGAACTCAGTAGAACGCTATCGCCTCTTCGATTCAATAATGTTGTTATGTTGTATGTTGTCGTTTGTTAGAGTGTATCGAAATCTGATCTAATCTAAGGCAACGATTTGGTTAACACTCTTAAATACTGTTATTTAAACTAGATTCCTTAGCCGATAGTACGCGTTAGGAGGATACGAAGCACTCTACCGAGTTTGCCTACTAAGTTTGAAGACGTTTTCTTTTATATTCGACATAGGTTGATTGAAGGAAGATATGGAAGTAAACTAAAGTAAGCAAGACATCCCTTGCAAACTGGTTTTTGATGTTGTTCTATTTGATGTTATGTTATATTTGTTTCTGTTGTTGTTGTTGTTGCTATCGCTGATAAGTTTAACGCTTTGGCAGTAAATCTAACAATAAACTAAATTTGTATTACAACTTTTAACAAGCTTTAAATAATTAAAAAACGTATCATAACATTCACAGATACTAAATAAGGTTTTCCTTCATGTTCTACAATACATTTCCTAAGCTTTTTTGCCTCCTAACTGACCGCTGGTGCTGACTTCCTGATTTGGAATCTCTACATTATTCTTAGTCGGATATCTTCATTATCATAAACTGTCGTAGTATGAACTAATTGTTCTCAGAAGGAGAAATCCAAAGGATTACGAGTCCCTTTCCATCTATCGACTGATGAAGAAATACTGCATTCAAATGTTCGCTGCACTAAAGTCTGACGGTGCATCGTAGATATAATCACCAATCATCCCAGTTCCGAATTTTCATAAGCAAATGTCTGTTTATTATGCGAATTCGTAATTCCAATGAGTAAATACAACTTCATCAGTAAATAATATGAGGTTAATCATTTGATTGCTCTGCTGATACTTTTTCCAAAGGCGAAGACAAATTTCCATCGCCTTGACCAATCATCTTTGTAAAAAGACTATTTGGACAACTAATGGATACAATTGTTCCTCCTGAAGTACTCGCCAAGCAGTAGCATGTCAAATTCGTACTTCAACACCAATAGCACTGTTTGGATTTTCTTCTGTTATGTTGAGAACTCTTTGTTCCTGCTCCATAGTCCTAACAGTTTCTGGTCTTAATCTATTTCCTTTTGAAAACTTTGAGAGTTCCACACGAAGTCACCAAGTCGTCTGTGAAAACTGGTAAATGTTAGAGGAATATTTCTTCCATAAGAGAAATGCATATCACGATATTTGATATTTGAAAATTCATAGGCCATTTTTTTATTAATTAATAAAATTAATTAGGAAATTAGGAATATAGTATTAAGAATTTAGTTGACAGGAAAAATGTCGGATTCGATATTATTTACAGAATCATGCGTACACATCATTCCGTTTATTATTTCAACTACAGATAACGAGCGTTCAAATAAAAACGTGGTCAAGTTGGTTCTGAAAATTTGGACGTAGGGCGTAGCGTATAGCAAATGAACTTAAACGTCATCTGTCAAAGCGCTATATCGCCGCTATCAATTTGAATATTTTCGTTTTAAAAAGCGTTTAAAATGGTGTTGTCTCAAGAACAAAAAGTGTTTATCATAGAGACATACTTTAGAAATGGACGCAAGATTGATGGAATATGGAAGTATTCTATTGAGGAATGTTTCATAGAATTTCAAAATCAATTACTGACAGCTGCTATACAGCTCGTTGAGAAATGAGGTTAAGTTGGTTGCTATAAGCTACTCCCTACGTCCAATGTGTCAGAACCAACTTCGACCACGTTTTTATTTGAACGCTCGTTATTACACCACACTCGTTCAATAATCATCTCGCGCAAATTAATCTAGATCAGAATATTCATACCATTGCGCAAAAAACAGTTATATGTAATATAACGTAAATAATAAGTACTTTTTTCTTTCCTTTCAAATGACATATCAATATTAACAATATTACTAAGACAAAATAGTTATGGTAACAATTTTTTTTTCAATAGTAGGTAGACTGCCCTCTAGCGGTGTCTAATAATGCTTTTCTCTAATTAGCACAATAAGGCTGAATCTATGTAGTGCATATGTTATATATGAGACAATCAAATTAAAAAAGTTTTTTAAAAATTAAATTAAAAAATTTAACTTTGGCGAGCCGTAACTTGAAACCTATTGACATTTCGAAAAATGTTTTCTTAACTAACACTAACACCCCGTATATCAATAATTAAAATAAGAAAATACAAATAAGAACATTGGAGCTAAAATCCCTTCCTTCTCCGATACGAGTCTACATTTTTTTCATAAGGCCTTAGACTTTTGTTCATGAAACTTCTTTCGTTAAATATTGTTTATTGTAGAACTACTGTATCTATATAAGCCCTTACAAATACAAACAACTTTTTTTACAACGTATACTCTTTGATGTTAGGCCTTCTTGATTTGCTTTATTTATTTATAAAAAAAATGACGTCTTTAACATTCCAATTATAATATCGAACAAAAACCAAAAAAATACATTGTCCTTGATTCACTTCGGTAATCAAACTGAACCTAACCTTCTGTTGAATATTATACTGTTCCTCGAAAGCTAACTTTAGCATCATGAAATATTGTTTACACTAGTCAATATTTGCAAACTTCTTGTATAATTTCGATAAAATTAGACTCACACACTCCTTATGATACAAAAAAATAATGTTAAACTGAAGGTCAACTTGTTTTTCAAAGCTATCAGATGAGCTTTCTACCGAATGCACAATTCGTTGTTTTTAATTTCAATAAAAGTCGAGTACACTGAGTCTGCCTTTGGCATTGAAGGCAATTAAGCGAACTTACACGATGAAATGACATATTTTTATAGCTGATAGATTTCCGGCGTCCTTCGTAAGTTCTAAAACGGGTACAGTTACATGTAAGCGTATGTAACCTGCCACTGTATAAAGTATTTATTACTTTTGTAACTTACCTTGATTGCTGGCAATTTAATACATAACAGTAGTAGTGAAAGAGGAGTGCTAAATAGAAAAGTATGACCCAACTCATAAAGGCTAACGCCTGCCGAGAAATGGAATGTTCATTTTTAAACAGCAGAGGAACAGGCATGTACATATGTACGTAGCTCATACAAGTAATAACCAATTAGAATAATTATTACTGATATTTAATTACATTGATTTGCAACAATAAAACTAACACGACGGTGAAATGTTGACATCTTCATTAAGTTGATCGACGAATAATCTATAATTTCTTAAGTTTACGTAATTAATGAATAGTAAAAAATATGAATATTTATAATGTAAAAAACATTGCGCTTAGTTTCTAGTACGTTATCTTATTTATTTATTTAATTTAATTCATCCCACGGGATGAGAACCCTTTTACAGGATGAATAAAAACAGAAAATATGTAACATAAGCGTAGCATAATTACAATATATAGTAAAATGGTATAAAGAAAGACAATAAAAACGGAATAGAACATCAAAAATAGTTAAAAAACAACGGCAAAACAATATAAGATAACTAACAATGATATAACAATATTACAAAATAAAGACAAAAATAAAACATGAGTTATAAGAATAAAATACAGATTTTAAAATGTGTAAGCACGCTTATTATGTCCAGTCGTTCTTCAATGTTACAGTCATTTCTTAGCATCATATACACTGCAAAATATTAGTACGGGATTAGGAAACAACAAATAAATTATTAGATCTAGCGTTGGCTTTAGGAACTCTGTAGCTAACAACAGAGGTAAGCATAATGCAATCCATACCATTGTTAACAAGCTTGTATAGGAAAATTATAGAATTCATAATCCTCCTTCTAATTAGACTGCTCATCTCAAATCGTTGCAATAATAAGTCTTGTGAAATTGTGAATAAATCCCATCCAATATGAAACTTGCGGATTTAAGAACCTTCGCTGTACTTTTTCTAACGCCGTTATATGACAATTATAACTTGGAGACCAAATTACAGAGCCGTATTCCAATTTAGGCCTAACAAAGCTGTTAAATAATACTCGTAATGTAGATATGTTTTTAAAATCTCTACTGTTACGTAGTATGAACCCCAGATTATTGTACGCTCCATAGCTATACATTCTTCCATATGTTTATTGAATGTTATTTTGCTGTGAAAAATGATGCCGAGATCTTTAACAAATTCAGGCCGATTAAGTATCTGGTCATTTAAAGTATAATTAAAACAAATTTTACTACTTTTACGAACAAATGACATAACATTACATAAGCAGATTCAAGTCATGCAACCAATCGGATTCGGAGTTAATATCTACATAGAACTTGAGGTCATCAGCGTACAACAAGAAGTGAACATTTAGATCTTGGGCGATATCATTAATGTACAAAATAAAATGCAAAGGTCCAAGTATGAAGCCTTGCGGCACACCAGATGTTTAATTAAAAAACACAGAGCACGGTACTGTACAAACTGAACACGGTGGGAAATATATGATTTTAGCAACTGGAGAAAGGATCTACTGACATCGCAAGCTTCGAGCTTACGCAACAGTTTACGGTGATCAAGCCTGTCAAATGCCTTAGAGAAGTCAGTATAGATAACGTCCACCTGAACCCTCCTATCCAGCGTTTCGGCAATAAACTGGGTGCTACATACATGGTTCGACACTGTGGATCTGCTCTTTATGAATCCATGCTGCTCGGGAATTATCAGGTTCTTTGTGTAAAAGGAAAGGTGTTCATGAATTAATATTTCAAATATTTTAGAGAAGTTGCATAAAATGGCAATAGGTCGGTAATTCTCAACTTCATTCTTATATCCTTTCTTAAAAACAGGAGATACTCGGAATTGCTCCCATAAGTCAGGAAAGGTATTGTGCTTAAGAATAAGGTTGAATATTTTTAAAAGTGGTTTACAAAAGACGGTAGCACAGTCTCTTATAATAAACGCAGGCACATTATCCGGTCCGGTTGTCATATTTGCTTTAATCTTTCTTATCGATTTTCTAATGCTGTCTTCAGTAAAAGATGTAATAGCGTTATTATTAATGTGATGTATAACATCGGGTTCATAATTCGAGGATGTAATAAAAGAGTTACTAAAAATAGTGGACAAAAGCGTTCACAATGTCCTGGGGATTTTCAAGTTTGGAATTATCATAATTCGTGCAGGATAATATACAAGTAGAGTTTTGTTTTGAATTAATGAAATTCCAAAATTTTTTGGTATCATTTTGTATGGAACTTTCAGCCTCCTGAATATAATTATTATAAGCAGTTTTTACAAAACATTTAAACTGTGTTCGAAGACTTTTAAAATGATCGTAATCAACCTGCAGTTTTGATTTTCTGTAAACTTTCTAAGCTCCGTTTTTGATTTTTAAAAAGTTTATTATTTCTGTGTTAAACCACGGCGAAAAACATTTACGTGCAGGTGTTTTCGTGGGAATATGTTTCGTAAAAGCATAATTTATTTTGTCATAAAAGTGTTGAAGAACAGTGTTAACGGATGCGTCGGTTGATAGTGACCAATCAATTGCATTGAGTTCACTATATAAACCGTAATAGTCCGCCTTTTTAAAATTTAAAGATGGAGAGTCTAAAATAGGAAAAATATCATTGTGAGGGCCAGACATGCAAGTGTCTATACATAGAGCCGGATGATGAGGGTCAATAGGTAATAACGGCTCGTAGGACTTGCGTACTGAACAAGGGTCAGTACTAAAAACAAGATCCAAGAGTCTATCATTATCATTGGTTACTAGGTTGTATTGTTCAAGATCATAATAATTGACAAACTGACGCAAAAGATTTATACACCGGGTGGATGCGTCTAAATTATAGTTAGGGATAAAATAATATAAATAATAAAATAAAAGGGGTAAAATCTCTTATGATAAGAATGCATGACCCAAAAAAGTCATTGAGAGATTCAAGACTATCAAACAGATAATCGTAGTCCTCAAATGGTGCATAAGGTGGAATATAAATAGTAAAAATGCAAAGGTGCCTGTTAAGAAGCCAATGGTATAAAATTAGTATTTCTTGCGTTACATTGGTTTTTGGCGATTTGTTATTACTTTCGTAAAAAAAACACAATTGTAAAAAACAGAAATGCATGCTATACACACACAACGAACGTAAAATTAGTGGATTCCAAATTATTTTCTAGTATTATTTGAAAGCGTTGGTTGGTAGTTTATTTAATTGAGTTTCTGAAAATTAAACACTATGGTTTATTCCATTGCGGAAAGGGTAGATATCATTTCGCTTTACTTTATGAACAATAAATGTGCGAATAGAACAGCTCAGCTATTTAATGAACAACATCAAGATCGACATGTCAGGAGGAAGTATGTTCTAGAGTTAGCAAAAAAATTTCAAGAGACAGGGAACGTAGCCAATAAAAAACGAGAAATTGAAAAACCTATAGTTAATGAAGCTAGTGAAGTTGCAGTTTTGGGACAAGTTCATCTTGATCCTACATTAAGTACGAGGCAGCTGGCATCTGTGTCTGGGATCAATCGAACTAGCATACAAACCAATTTGAAGAAGAATAAATTCCATCCATACAAAATATATTTAGTCCAGAAACTTTTTGGGGATGATTATGACCGCCGTTTGCAATTCTGCGAAATAATGAGTGAGCGAGCAGGGAACGATCCACAGTTCCCTTTTAACATCTGTTTTTCTGATGAATGCAGTTTTTTCTTGAACGGGTAAATCGTCACAATTGCCGCTATTGGTCCGATTCAAATCTAAGAGTTTTTCACGAGGTGCACACACAGCAACAGCTGGTGGGTCCTTTTTTTCTACCTGGTATTTGACTGGCCAAATGTATTTGCAATTACTGGAAGACGCTATTGACCCTGCCTTGACTGATATTATTAAAAATGTTCCAGAGTATGATGAAGATCATTTGATTGTTCAACAGGACGGTGCTCCTCCGCATTATGCGTTAATTGTCCGTCAGCATTTGGACCAACGTTTTCTACGGAATTAGATTGGGAGAAAAGGCAGCATTGAGTAGCCTCCACGATCACCGGATTTATCGCCCTTGATTTCTTTTTTGTGGTGATACCTAAAAAGTTGAATCTATAAAACACAGCCAGTGTCGCTGGAATATTTGCGTCAAAGAATCGTCGACGAATGCCGTCGAATCACTCCGGAAATGCTTCGGAATATGTGCGAACGTTTCGAACAAAATCTTTATTCTTGTATGGAAGCGGGCGGTCATCAGTTTGAACATTTAATCAACTAAGTAGTAAGTAAGCAACTAAACATAATTTAAATTTTAAAATGTACATTTTTTTCAAAGTATTGGGCGGAATTATAAAATTTAAAGTCTGTTGTAAAGAGAATTGTAAGAGAATTCAAAAGAAATATTACTCGACCCCCAATGCCATTTAAATATTTTGGGGTGATGCTTACCCTTGCTTGGGGGTGAAAGTGGCGGAGTCAAAAATACCAGCAAAGAATGTCCCCCTTTAATTTAAAACCGACGGGTCTGAGCGTTTTTCTACAATATTGACGCCGTTCCTGAAAATGGCACTGTTTCGTTTTCATTTGGACACCCTGCATAATAAAAAATTAATATTTTGCCACAGAATACGCCTCTGGATTTTTGATCTGCTTAAGAAACACCCTGTATAGGTACGGTCTCTGCAGACGTTTTCTGTTCAGTTATTATTTGTGTTATATTATTATTGGTTTTTTAAATAAAATTGAATTGCAAAAATATAATTTTATTATTTGTTTGTGAAAATAGATACCATTCAATAAAACTATTAACATTTGAAAAATTTTTATTTTGTGAGTAATATGTATTTTTTCAAAATGAGTCTCATATTAGGCTAATTTACCTTAAATATAAAATTACATTACGGCACTTTTAGATTAAAAAAATAGCAGCCTGAAAACATCTGCATCGATTATAACTCGCAATTTTTTTGGTTAGATGTAATTTTCAAATAATAGGCACTTATCTGGTTATCGACTTTATACGTGCCAGCGCCGTTCTCGTGAGCGGCGCAACACCAAGCAGGTAATCATCTCCGTAATAAAGGATAATTTAGTACTGTTTTTCGTCGAACAATCATTTGTAAAATCTGAGGAGCTAAACGATGTATTAGGACAAGTACCATTAATAAGTATAAGGTCTCCCAGAGACCTAATAATAAATCAAGTGGTAATTGCATCACGGTGAGATATATAAATTACTTCCAAGAGCCGTACTAACGACTTCAGGAACTGAAAACTCTCAAATCTCAACCTAGATGCACTTCATAACTTTTATGTTTAAAAATAATTTATTCGCGCACGGTTATTTCATTGCTCATTAAAGTTGGACTTTATGCAGCTTAGGTTATTTCAGGAGACGGTTATATAAAATATATACTGTAAAAATAATTCGCAACTACAGTCCGAGTCTGCAAAATCCTTTATGAGTACCTACCCAACCCATCTACATATGTAAAGCTAATTACAAATTCCTGTACATACCTACATTTTATTAAGTATAATAGCAACAGTTAATAAAAACATATTATTTGTAATTAAAAAACAAACGCCTTAATATGTAGTTTTTTGTGATCGTTTACTAAAATATTTGAGACAACGTGAAAGAAGACCTTTTACAACAGAATAGGAGTGTTGTTACAGAAAGTACGCAATAGTATACAGTCGGAGTAGTCTGGTTTCCCACGAATATGTGAGTATGCAATATGGGCCGCAGGCGGGTGATGCAAATCATACGAGTGAGAAATAGGCATTCCGTGCGAGTTATACTTACGTTAATTTTTCTACGGCATTTGTTAAAAGATCATTTTTATGAAAAATTCAATTATGCAGAAAACTTGATGCTTATGATGACTTAAAAATATTAATCAATTTAAAATCATTCTCAATAAAAATTCGTCGTCAAAAAGTTAATATAACTCTTTGGTATCAAATACCTTCGTATCATAAAGGAAGAGCTTCACAGCTCTATCAACATGCATGTCATATTGAAATTATTATAATTATATAATTCAAACCTTGTATGTTCTAGAATATACAAATATTTTATATTTTTTTTCATATTTAATATGTTTAAATATCTCAGAACTTTACAGTGAAAAGATTAAAATATTGTAATGTTAACGGAACTTAACCTATAAAATTTAAATGACAAAGACAAATCAGATTTCATTATCACTCAATACAACAAAATGACGAACTTCTACACAAATAATTTTTATCACACTTTAACGTGTCAAATTTTATCATACTTTACTTTAACGTGTCAATCTTTTGCGTTAGTATTCAAAAAGCTGAGTGAGGAATTTTTCGGTATTCGCAATGTGTCTCGAAGCAAATACAGTCTAGATTGTTCTGGAAAACAACAAAATAAAATATTACAAACATAGGTAAATTAACAACATTCAAAAACTTAACTGAGAAATCATCAAGACGAGGTCAGCTTCCGTAATATTGCCCCCCTTACCAAAATCACTGTATTTTCAGCGATTTACTTTTGGTTTATTTAAGATGTACAATCACCTGGGGCCCGTTACTATTGGCACGCAAGCCATACCGGTTCGTTGTTCAATATCTTTCTATCTGCAACTTAACTCATACCTCCTTATGTACCAACTTTATTCGGTCTTTTAGGTCACCATCTACACTTTCCTGATATTCTGGTTGATTTGCAATACAATCTATTGGCAGACATAA